CCTCTATTTCTTTAATATTGATATTAGCAACAGAATGTGACTCCTCCCAGTTACAATCCCTACTCCTAATCAGAGATTACCAATCCTAGGCACCACTGCAATTCAGAGCATGAACGAAAGCCCAGGTACAGACTTTCACCAAGGCAGAACACTCAGGTGCCTAGAAATAGGCACATTAAAAAGAAATGAATATTAAAAGGCACATAGGCAGATGTTGAACAGTGATGGAGACTCAGACAATGAAGAAGGGGCCCCAGGGCTCCTCTACACACCTCACAACATATCAGTATTTCTTGACAGGAGCATCACATACAGTTGGGACACAGTATTCCCTATCAAACCCAAAGCTGTGTATGAAAACAGACTTGGACATAGGGGTAATGAGACAAATGCAGCGAAAAGCTTATCACAAACATTAAATTGCCACATCAGAGACTTAACATTCTCACAGAGCTTACTCTGCTTGCATGCATGTGCCATCCTTCTGCTGGAACTGGGCTTGCCCTGTAAATTGCCTACCAAGTAACACATTTCCCTAAAAGCAGCAGCCTTCTCTCAGATCTCACTGCCACATGTACAACAACTCTAAATGGTTTTAATCTGTTCAGGGGGGCACAGAGGAGACCAGTTTCCTCCTGAGATCTACATGCAAGTAATTAAAACAGTTGTGGCAGATGGCACTCCAGGACAATCAATGTTCACACAAATGGCATGAGACCTCCTTGGAGAAATCCCAGACAATGAATACATCTTTACATGGACTCTATTACTCTGGTGGGGAGAAGCTGCACATCAGCATGTACTTCAGAATCTCTGCAAGACTTTAATCATCATAGCCAATAAAATGGACACCTCACCTGCTCATGGTAAGAAATGATGGGACTCTCTAGATAAGTTGTCTTAGATAATGAATTTGCCTTAGAATCCATACCAGCAGAACGAGCAGGAGTTTCTGTGATCATCAACGCCTCTGGTTGTTCTTCCATTAGCACATCAACCTAGACGGAAACGAGCATCTCCAGAATTGTACTTGCTTTCTGGCATCAACAAACAGTGGATCACTGCATCCATCTCTTTGAATGAACTCCAGGTTAGATTATGAGTCTATTTTTATAGATGTTCCAGGGATTCAGGTCCAAAAAGGAGGAATATTTAATTTAGGTTTACCCATTTTTCTCTTTATAATGTTTGTTTGTATTGTTTCCCAGATCCCTATAACTTGTTTTGCCCATGTCAAAAATGTAGTATCTGATCCACAGTGGCCTCTAAATAATGCATTTGCTTTTGGCTCACATAATTTTGATTTCCAATAGACTCAGGTTTTTCATTCTTCCAGAAGAATCAAAGGACATCGATAGCTCTATATATATGAAGGAAAATTTGACAATGGGAAATTGTAACATGGAATGAAAACTTTTAAACTGCCAAAACTTACCATGAAGTATGATTAAATTAAGATGTACCAACCAAATTATAAAAACTCACTTATTGACAGTATTTGCAAGCTTATAGCAAGTGCTACCAGTTCAAGCCCTGCTGTAAATGATACAACTTGACCACAGATTTGAGTGACACAGATGGCACACTACAAAAATTTACCTCGCACCAAACAGTTCTGGAATGATGGCAGTAAAGGTCCTTATTGAGACAAGCAAAGCACTAATTGCACATCCACAGCCTCACCCCCATGATCCCTTTAAGCTTTTTGTCACTCTAGATCCCTATAAAAACTGTACCTGCAGTGAGTGATGTTAATGGGCTTTGAGATGTGCTATTCCATCTTCCTAATTGCCAGCATCTGAATAAAACTCTCCCTTAAATCAGCTCCTGACACTCAAGTATGGCCTTTTGAAGTGTCAGGTATGTGGGTCTGCATTTGATTACATTTCATCGTGCCTTCTGGTGAGGGCCCCCATCCTGGATCACATCAGGCATTTCCAGCTTGATCAACACATGGAGAAAGGGGCACACATCCCCTGGGCTCCTTGAGAAATACAGAAACCTCTTCATGGGACACACTCCTGACCTAATAATCCACTAAAGCCTCACTTTTTAATATTTTTCTCTACTAGGATGTGGAACTAAACATATAAACTTGAGGGAGGCAACACATGTAGTCATGTGACAGTACTGACCTAGCGCCTCTGGGTTAAGGGTCATCCTGCCATCACCTTGATGTCTGTCCATTGAAGAAATTTCATGATTAACCTTGCAGGTCACACAGGAATAAATGTGACTTTATTGTAGCCTCTGGTCTGCCATGTGTGATTCCACTGTCACAGGAATACTGAATGCACAGGATGTGGTCTCCCTTTGTCAAAGACGTCCCCAGCCTACTGCCTTTTATGTGATGACCATTAGTACTAACTTAGGGACAGGGACACATGGGGGGCTGTGCTCTCAGGTGAGGAGACTCCTTAGAGTTTCTCCCTGAGTGAGGACTGAATGGATTCTGTGCTGTCATAGACAGAGCTGGATCCTGGACCATCTGTCAACACTCAACTTTTTGGTCACAATGTCATGTATGCAATGATTGGCCAGTGACAATGACATAGAATTTCATCCATGACTTTCATGTATTTACATTTATCTGAGGTCACTTCCAGTGCTCAGAAATAAGGAAGCCTTAGACCTTTCTGGGGAGTCAATGCAGTCCAAATTCCAAATCCTGCCCCCACCATCATTACTAGATGGTGCCTCCAAGAACATCTCTCATTCAGAAGACAAGAAATCTCCCATTGTGCCCTTTGCACAAATCACAGTAAATAACAAGGGTCCTTCCAGGAACATCTTCCCTGCTTATTCTGTGTTATGCATCTGGTCACTTGAAACTTTTTCCCTGGATTTACGATGTGCCCCTGGCAGCATCAGTCCTGGTCTCAGTTTCTTGACTGTGTGTGAGGAAGTCAGGGGGACCATCACCCGGTCATCTCCTCAGCCAAGTCCACCCATCCCTCTTCTTAGGGTTTGCGACACACTCAGGAAGTGGGTCATCACACTGAGTCTCTTGCACAGAAATACAATGTTGTGTCAGAAGACTCCAGACCATAATTCTGCAGATATGCCATGGTAATAGGGGTGTCCATGAGGAAGAAATATTCTGAGAATCTCTGGGATGTGTGGGTTTTCCAGTGTCTGTTGATCCAAGCCATGCATTGTGGGCCCTCTCCTGGGGACTTTACTACCCAGAATACAGTGCAACTTATGGGTATGTGTCCAGAAGCCTTGTAGGAGACCTTCACTGAGGCCCCAGCATTCCTCCTCTCAGCCTCCAACTGCACTGCACCAGATGCACCTGGTAGTGGACAAATTTGGAGAAGAGGGAGGAGTCGGTGGAAAGTCTTCTTGATTTTCCCTTGTCCCTCCTCAAACCAGAAGCAAAAGGACCCCTTGTCTGTAGTAAATGGCACCAGCAGGAGGGCTCTCTAGCATTAGCCCATGGTGAGGGGCTTTACATTCATGACTTCTGTAGGGAAGCATGTGGCTGTGGGTGATGCTCTCAGGGCACAGAGAGACCCATATTTCACCTAATCTACCTCTTCACATTTGAGGAAAAATACTTCATATGTGATTACCTGAATCCATCTGGGAGAGGGTAGAGGGCCCAGGGAACAGGATCAATGGGAACATCAGAGTTCAAGTTTGAATCAATGTTATCTTATATGTGTCTCCTTCCAGGTCCTTGAGCTCTGTACACACAAAGCTCCTCCCACAGAACAATGAACCCCACAGGAGAAGCTCCTCACTGAGAACCTAACTTAGAATCACACAGTGACCATCTGGACCTGTTCTGGGCTTTAATGCTTTTAGATTTCATTTCCTAGATCAGGGCCTCCAGTTCCTTAACATTCCAATATAAAAAAGTGTGGGAATACCCTGACTGTGGTTCCCTGGTCTTATTCAGTTTGGTAAATGCTCTGATAGAGACAGATATTTGGAGTCACACCCTTTACAGACTTTATTTTAGATTTTTTTTTGAAAGATGAAGACCCAGATCCTCAGGGGACATGCCTCCTCAGTTCTCTTTCCAAGTGCTCCTGAACCGTCTGCCATGAAGTCATGAGCCCTACATGCCACCTGCTGCCAATCCCATGCCCTGCAAGGGAAGGTCTTGTCTGGGATGACAGGGCATGGAGTTCTCAGTGCCTGGAACCCAGAAGTGAAAACTGAGCCCTGACTTCAGGATGTTTTCTCAGGGATATCATATGTTTAGACAACTCAAGATAAAGATAATTGTCCTTAGCGAACAGCAGTGACTGCAGGGAGCCCAACCCAGGGCACTTTGCAGCACCAGGGAGCCCCTTTGCTGGAGCTGCAAGATGCACTGGCTCGGCTGACACCCCTGAGTCCAGAAGCTTTCTGAGTGTTTAAGGAATACTGATGTCATCATGTTCAACTACTTGCAGGTTCCGTAAAAAAAAAAAAAAAAAAAAAAAAAAAAAAAAAAAAAAAAAATATATATATATCCCTGCACTTGGCCCTTATGTCAATGCGCCTCTACTGTTCATTAATCGCCCACACAATTTTTATGGTGATTAACCCAGGTCCCCCTTCTCCTCTGTTCCTAGCACAGAGGTAGAATCTCATTCTCTTCCGAACTAATGGAGGGCGTGCCTATTTTGATGGCAGAACAAAAGCAAACACAATTGATGTGAAGAGTGGAGAGTGCCCACCCTTGTGGGTTCCTGTTCACCAAGCAACTGGAACCAGCAGAGGCCATGGTGAGAAGGCCCTGGTTTGTCCTGGGGAGATTCAGACCCAGAGTTCCCTTGTCCACTCATTATATCCAATACTGACTTGATTTTTGTTTGGAGGGTCTCTGTAACCTATAGGGTACAGGTCCCCATTCTCAGACTGCACTACCTTAAGCCTTGTGGGTAGTGGCACAGTGGACACTAGACTAGAGTCTCCCCAAAATAGAACCAGGTGCTGAGGTGGGAATAGTGCAGGCAGAACATTGGTCCTGGCCTGTCAGAGACTGTGGGCCAGTGTCAATGTTGTTAACTACGACTTCCTCTGGTGGCCTGAGCCCCCGCTGCAGCCCAGACTTCCTGTTTCCTGCAGGGAGGTTTGTGTCTGCGCTCTTGCTGACTTCCCCTCACTGTGCCTCTTGCACAATAATACACAGCCGTGTCCTCGGTGCTTATGGAGCTCAGCTGCAGGGAGAAATGGTTCTTGGACCTGTCTCTGGAGATGGAGGTTCGGCTCTTGAAGGACCGGCTGTAGTGAGTGCTTCCAACATAATTTATGTGCCCGATCCACTCCAGCTCCTTCCCTGGGGGCTGACGGATCCATCTCCAGTCATAACCACTGGTGATGGAGTAACCAGAGACAGTGCAGGTGAGGGAGAGGGTCTGTGAGGGCTTTACAAGTCCTGAGCCTGACTCCTGCAACTGCACCTGGGACCAGACACCTGGGAACAAAGAGCATAATTTCTTGTGAGCCATGTGCAGTCACCACCATCGCATAGACCCGTGTCTGACTCCTGAGACACTCACCCTGGGGGGCTGTCAGCAGGCACATGAAGAGACCCAGCAGTTTCATCTTCTATACACAGGTCTGCCTTCACCACAGTCTCAGCCCTGTGTCAGGAGAGCTGTGAGCCCCCACAACCCAGGAAAGGATTTAATCTGGAGCTGAAACAGAAATTTGCATGTTGGTATCTCTATTCACATAAGTAGGGGAAGACTGAGGCCACTCTTCTTCAGTGTCCTTAGCACATTTCTTTTCTTAGACTGGTTGGTGTAGGTCAGGTATGGGAGAGTAGTTGGGTTATGTGTCAACTTTGAAACATGCCCATGAACTGCCATTCTTTCTATGTTGAACATTTAAAGCTAGACTGATGAAGGATCACATTATTTTAATTTCATAAATCATTCACATGGATCTTAATATAGATTAACACTATACCCCTAAACATTTTTCCAAGTCCAAAGAAACACATAAAGTATACACAGACTTTCCAGATTAAATAATCATAATTTCTTATGAAAAAGAATTTGATGTGAATTTTCATGTATTAACATTTGAAAGTAAACAACAGTCTTTCCCTTGCCCTGGCTGAGGCCCCTGTGCCTGCAGGTGGCAGAGCAGGTGCAGCTTCTGTCCCAGTGCACTCCAGGGAATGGGCCATGCAGTTAGAACCTGCTTCCCAGAGTACAGCTGAGACCCTGCAGCTGACACAGGTGTTCCACAAGATGTGTCCTTCCTTTGGTCTCAGCTTCCCCAGGACAGTGCAACCTGTTCCCTCAGGTGAGCTGCTCTGGACACCTGCCAGATTCCTAGACCACAAGGGGCCCTGAGATCTGGAGTCAGCTTCTTCCAGAGAAACACAGACACCGACTCTGGGCCAGCAGGTGTCCTGAGGTGCTTGAGGAAGATGGGACCTGCTTCCTGGTCACAGAGGTCAGTTTGGAATCTGCCATTTTCGTATTCACCTGAAAGCCTGGAGACAGATTTGGAGATGTCCTGGGAAGGTGGATCATAAAGGCCAAGGTAACAGATGAAGGGAAACCAAAGTGCAAACTAGCTATACCTTTTATTCAAACATTTAAGAGAAGTGAAACTCATGATGGGACTTAACAGCCTGGTAAACGCTTAAAACCAGCTTTGCTTGCCTGAGTGCTCAACACTCTCCATCCACAGAAACTCCCCACTGCAGTGACTGTCATTTAACAATGTAAAGCAAGGCCTGGTGCACATTTGACAGATTGAGGGCATCTAAGGATCATCTGAGAGATTTCCTCAGGTGACAAATGTTTCAAAAGATCCCCCCTTTGTCGGCAGGAGTGGTGAGAGTGATGAGTGGTTGTAACCTCGTAAGATCGAGGTAGCATCTGTGAAGGAGATGGCAATGCTGTCCTCTAGGAGCTAGGGGATCTGCCAGGAGGGATGTGGCCAAGCTGTTGTAACCATATGATGGAAGGGGAGGTGGAAGCCAAGGGAGAGAAGCTGTGACAACACCTCCTCCAGTGACAGCACACCTGTGCCCCTGTGTACACCTGGGTTCTGTAAATAATTCCTGTCCCCTCCCCAACATGGAGGAGAACTGAACCCCTATTTAGGACCCTGGTGAGCCCCGTGTGTCCTCACCTGCCCCAGGAGCCCTGAGAAGGGACATGTCCTTCCCCAACACCTTTCCCTGTGATGCTGCCCAGAGACACATTTCAGGTGGGCACCTGGGTATCTCTGTTTCAGTTTTCTAGGAGCTTTAAAGACTGAGACCCAGGTAAGTGAACCTCTTGAATATCTTGTCATTTTTCTCACTGACTTTCCAGGTAAAGTGCTCAGAGGATGGTGCAAAGTGAAAATTCATGAGGACAAAGTGTCTCCTGAGAAAGTTGGGTCCATTCTGTGTGACATGGTCCTGTGTGTGGTGAGTGTCCTGGACTGTCGTGCATCCTGATGACTCACACTGCTGAGTCTGTAAGTAAGAAAGTGCTGGGCACTAGTGACATGACACCCCCATCACATCTCCCTCAATGAGGCCCCAGGTCCTTGTCATCTCCTGCACCCTTTCAGGATGTGTTTCACCCATTGTCCTTTGTCCCACACCTACACTTCTCACACACCTCTCAACCCAAGGACCCCTGTAGCCCAGAGTCCTGGACCAGGCTCCCCCTCTCCCCAGGTTACATTTTCCTGGAAACATTCATAGAACAGTCCTACCACTTCTGAGGATTTTACTCCAAACATTCACCAGACTAATTAATTTTAAGTGCACAGAGTGATGTTAAACACATTCAAAAGATTCTGCAACCTGTCACCTTACCAATCGAGAATTTTTCACCATCCCAAACTGACCCAGTGGCCTTTAAATAATAACTCCCCATCTCCTGACCTCCAGCCCAGTTACCATTTCCACGTTCTGCCTCCACACACTTGACCCTCCATCTCTCACAAACCTGGAAACACACGGCCACTGTGGTGCTGAGAGTGGCCTCTTCCCCAGACATTGTGTCCCCAAGTCTCATCTGTGCTCTTGTATTTGTCTGTGTTCTCTTCTTTTGAAGGGGACATGGTATTTTGTGGTGAGTACAGAGCACATCTTGCTATTGAGTTTCCTCTATTTGCTTGTAAACAGGTGATTTTCCTATTTCCCTGATCAGAGAGTAAGATGTATGGCAGAAGGAAAGCTGACAACAAACTCAAGTGAAAGGGGTCAACATGTGATCACCTGAAATGGACAGAAAGCTCCTGTGACCAGAGGCTTTGCTGAGGTAGGTCAAACAGTAGCAATTTTCATAATGAGCTCAGGGTATTCTGTCATGGTTTCCAAACCACCTTGGTAGCAGCAGAATGAGGACAAAGGGAGGGAGGGACACAGCCTTAGTGACAAGGCAGGGCTGATGGACCCTTCATCTGACAGGAACCGTGTCCACCTTTAGGTCACATCTGACTCAGCCTGGGGTCCCTGGGAGGGAAACACATCCTGCCCCTGCCCAGTGTCTCTGAGGAAATAGGAGACTGAAAGAAAAGAGGTTCAGGGTAAATGGAGGAGAAATGGTATGTGAGGGTCACAGAGGAGTCTCAAGGTTAGTTCCAGACCAGGGACATAGACCTGAGATGCAGGAGGTGCCCATGTGTCCTGGGAGCTGGAGACAGGACCAAAGCTCATGTGGGATCTCCAGTTCCAAGGCCCTCAAGCAGGAGGGTTCCATTTGTCCCCTGAAGCTCTTCAGTTGCCAGTCAAGGTCTCACACATTAGGAAGGGTGACGAGTCTCGCCCAGTTCACTGATATAAAATAGAGTCACAGAGTCTCAGCTGGTGTGACCATTTTGATTCCGTCAGGGCACATGCTGAGGTTGCTGCCACATCTGTAGCAGGGAACATGCAAGAAGCAGTCATTCATTGCTTAATGTCCAACCATGTCGGGGAGAGGAAAGTGGCTCACTGCTCCCCAACAGTCAGGGGTCGTGGCAGCACTGATCATTCACACATGTGATGGTGTGTGCCGTGTGGGGAAGATGGTGTGACTCAGCACATGGATTCAGAACTGCAGGCTTAAAGCTGCACTGTAGCAGGGGAATAATCCTCAGTTGGGGCTTAGTGTGAATTTGTAACTGTTTTGTTTGTCAACACAAAAGTACAGACAGTACAGAGTTAGGGACAAAATAAGACCCTGGATGAGAAAGTGACCTTATCTGCTTTTAAGTACTTTAGCCCCTTCCCTGGTTCCTGGCAGTCTCAGTGCACATGGGAGCTACTGAATATGAATCCAGAGGCTGGGCAGGAGAGTCTCAGAGACGCCCCAGTTTAAAGTGTCTCTCTGACTTTATCAGCTGCACCTCACACTGAAAACCTCAAACACCAAGACATCTTTGTCAATTCCTGCTTTCCTCCTTTTTTTTTTTTTTTTTGGATGAGGGAGGGTAAGAAATTCAAGACACATAAAAGGAAGCAGGAATGGCCCCAAGGGACAAAAGGAAGTGAAGAAATGAAGGACCTTAAGGGAAGCCCTTCCTCAAATCCCCTGGGAACCAGCTTCTGAGCTGAACCCCTCCTTTTAATTGCACTGACACCCCTGGTGTCCTGATCCCCCCGTGGTGACATTGATGTCCCTTGTGCTCATTACCAAGCCCAATGGCTCTGATGTCCTCTTCTCTCATGAGCACTCCCTGGTGGTATCGATGTCCCTGGTGCCCGCAAGGCTCCATGGTGACAGTGCTGTACCTTGTGCACATGAACGACCCTGAGTGTCACTGATTCCCCCGTGTACTGAGCAGCCCCTGCATCTCCACTGTCTTGTATCCCTCCATATCTAAAGGTTTTCCCACATAAAAGTATTTTGGCCCTGAATGGCGGGGCTCATGATGACATGTAAACCATAAGGTCACAGGTCAGGGCACATGTCTGGGATTACATCCAGGTTCCAGTTGCTGATGAGCTAGAGGCAATATCTCACATGTGGACATTTCTCTTCTTGTCCTCCCTTCTGTCACTTTCTTGACACAATATATAAATAGGCAGATAGAAACCCCCTGGTTCTCCTGAGCAACCCTGGTGTCATGAGCACCCCCTGCATCCCAGCCCCCATCTCTGTCAGGGTGGTTTGTGCCTGGGCTCACACTAACCTCCCAGCTGACCTCAAGTTCCTTGGCCACACCCTGTCACTGTTGCCTAGTCCCCTCAGCTGCCTCACCCAAGGTAGGTTTTCTCACTGTCTCCTGGCAGCGACTGGCCAGGGCAGATGGTTGGGCCCTGGCTTCTCTGAGGATCCTCCTTTTTTCCATTCCTACTGACATTTATCCCCAAGAGGGGACATGAGGCTGGCAAAGGTATTGGTCACTCTGAGGATGCCCTTCTTGCCTCTTGGGCTCTGGGTGGCATGGACCCTGTCCAGAATTCTCAAGGCTGTCCCTTATGAAGCTCCATCTTCTCCAAGGTAGTTAGACCAGGAAGGAGCTGCTCCATGACAAAGGTCTTCAGACAGTGGGCTGGCTCTCCTACAGCCTGAGTTTTGGGGGCCAGAGACACGTCATCCACAAGTAGAGCAGGATACTGGTTTGGCCACAACATCTCGTGATGATGAGTCAGGCTGACCAGGGAACCTTGCAGGTGGATGACCCCTTTGTTACTCTCGACTGTTACTACTTCAGCTCCTCAAAGATGTTCTTCTCTCCGTGGTCACCATGGACACCTATAGGGCTCTAAAATGTACATTGATGGTGGGTGACCTGACCTATGATATCCAGACCCAAAGGATTCCAGAAGTTTGGACATGTGGATTCTCAGATAGTGGCTGACACCACCCAACAGGACCCATGTATACATTGGGGGAAAAAAAAAAAAAAAAAAAAAAGAGGCCTCCCTTGTTCTCTCAAGTGACTGCCAGTCAAGCATCCAGGCTCAGCAATGGCATCTATACAAGCCACCCAGGAAGTATGAGAGGATGTCTCCTGAGTTTCTACTCTGTACAGCAGTGTGTTATAATGCAAAAATCTTGGTAAGTCTAGATAGGTTATTTGAGTCCATGTTCCAAAGTATTGCTCTAAGGCACTACATCAGTCAGCATCCTAATCATGTGTAATGTGAGGAGTCCAACCACTGTGGGTAACTAAGTGGTGCCAGGGATCATCTAGCCTAGAGTACAGTGGTCAGACATTTATACAAGTTGTGATATGAGGTAATTCCGTGCACTCCTTGCAGCCCAACCCTCCTGTCTCCCACAAGGAAGATTTCTGGGCTCACATTGACTCCCCCTCAGCTTCTCTCACAAAGTAATGCATGACTCTGTCCTTGGTCCAGGATGCCCATTTGCAGGGACAGCACGTGCTTGACATTGTCCCCGAGAAGTTAAATTGGCCTTTCACAGAGTTGGCATATTGTGTGGTACTTCCATCCCCATTAATCCCTGAGCCTCACTCCAGCCCCTTACCTGGTTCCTGGCAGTCTCAGTGCACATGGGAGCTACTGAATATGAATCCAGAGGTTGGGCAAGAGAGTGTCAGAGACGCCCCAGTTTGAAGCATCTCCCAGACTTCATCAGCTGCATCTCACACTGGAAACCTCAAACACAAAGACATTTTTGTCAATAAACTGTCCCCTGTCCACTATTTCTCCCAGTCACATCCACTCACATATTCAGTGTTTCTCATTCTCCATAAATTACCTGTTAAAATAGGGACAAGTAATACCCAGCTGAGGCCAAGTACCATGGTGAGTGGTCTATGTCCTGTCCTCAACATGGACTGGGGACACCCTGATATCCTGGGCTGGGTTCCTGTCCCAGAGCTGCAGGTTTGGGGCTGGTCTGCTTTACCTCAGTAGAGGGACCCTATCTCCATGTCCTCCTACTATATAGAAAGCTGTGACATTGGCTAAAGAAATGACGACAAGGCCTTAGTGTGTGACTTGCCCAAGGGTATATGTTTGTTAAGAATTACTCCCCAGCTTTGGGCAGTTTGGCTCAGTAGGTTGTATGTCCTTCTGTTACTGAAGGTTGCATATTTGTTCCCAGATCTGGAGACATATGATACACTGTCTAGGCCTGAATGGGAGACAATCTCTCTCTCTCTCTCTCTCTCTCTCTCTCTCTCTCTCTCTCTCTCTCTCTCTCTCTCTCTCATAACCATTTCTATCTCTTCTCTCTGATAGCATTAAAAAAAAACTTCTATTGAAGAGAAAAAGTAACATATGAAAATAAAAGAATTACTTTCTACACATGTTTCTGTTCTCTCCACAGTGACCCAACTGCTCCAGGGGACTTTGTCTTGCTTGATTGACTTAGAGATCTTGGGATCCAATGATTTTCCAGGGTCATCTGTGAGTCTGATTATGATAAGTGCTTATTTCAGGAGAGGCAGAGGAAGGTATGGCTACAGAACAAGAAGTGATGTGACTATTGATGCCAGGTGGCCTATTCTAGGCTGTGGATAAGGAAGAAGAGATCATGGGACAAGGAAAGTGGATCTAGATGCTGAAGGAGACTATCAGACTCCCTGTCTGAGACTCTTCAGCTTGCTATAAATGTGTGTCATGAAATGGGATGCAAATAAACAATGATGTTTACGTTCCACAGTCATGTAGACTGGAAGTCCACAGTCCAAGAGCCAGTATAACAAGGAATTACATAGTATATTCATCTGACTTAAATATGAAGTAGATTTACAATGAGATGTACTAAACCACTGATAAAAATAGTTCATATCCTGACTGTTTCTTTGTGAGCATATTGCAAGCACCAGCATACCTTGTCCTGCTTCTACAAGATATGGTCTTGACCACAACTTTGGGTGATGTTGAATGTCCGGCGGCAAGAATTTGGCTGCCACCAAACACCTCCAAGACACTCTAGTCATAGATCCATGTCTGGACCAGCAAGGACACTGCCTGCACATCCACAGCATCTCTCCTGATCTCTTTGTTTTCCTTGTCTCTCTCTCTTCTTTTAAAACCTCCTGCCTGCAATAAGATTTTGAAAAGGGCCTTGAGACAAAACCTGCCTTTTGGTAACATTTTTGGTGAAATAAAAAGAAGAATATGTCCCACTCAGCAAGGCCTGGGATGCCCTGGCTGAGGATCCAGCTGCTTGTGACAGGATGGCCCCAAAGTAAGGATTGCAGAGTGTTACCCAGGAATGTCTACAGCTGTATATGATAGTGACTCCCTGATGTGCCTCTCCAGGAATCAGCTGCCTTAAAACACTTTACTAAAATAGAAAATGGGATACTTGGGAGTTGAAGTACTCCAAAATGGGTAAAGTCCCTCGTGTGCAAGAGCATGAGCTCCCAGGAACACCACTTGTGTTCTTTGTAATATGTGTGACTACATAGGAATCGATAGGTGCCACATGGCAGTAGGCATGATTCAAATAAATTTAAGAAAAATCTCAGTTCCCCAGGGTGGGATTTGGAGGGTACTTTTGATGTTCTGAATTATTCATCCATGGGTTATGATTGGAAGCACTCACCTGTTCTGTTTGGGAGCTCTGTGTGAGCTAGAGTCTCTGTAATGAAACATTTTAGCTCCAGGTGTTCTCTGTTTACTTTCTTATCTTTCAAGGGCTTGGCCTGTTCTTTGCTGTTTTGTTCACCAAGAGAATCCTCTCTTTGTTATCTGGCTGTTGTGCCATTTAAGAATTTTGAAGAACATTCGTGCTAATGTCTTAGTCCTTCCTTTTAGAGGATTTATTTTGACAATACTTTCTATTGGAGTTTTAGTTTTGCCTAAGATGTTGTTTTTGATATAGTTTGGAAATGGGAAACTAAGTCTGGATCCCACCAAAGAGGTCATTAGGTCACATTTCAGCTCTGTGGTCAACTTAGAGATGTCCATCAATGACTAATGACAATTACTTTGCCAAAAGTCTGATAATTAGAATAAGATCTCTTTGATGCAGGCTTTCATGCTGTTACATCATAAGGATCCTACACAGAGAAGATGTAAATTAATGGCTCAAAGTGGGTAAAGGACTCTCTCCCTTCACAAAGTTTAAGTTCAGAAAGAAGAAAACAAGTTAAGTCTTTTAAACTCCGTGAATCATCTTCCTGGATGGGTGGGAGCTGTAGTGGTCATGGAGCAATGAGAAAATTAATGCCACCCCCTAAATCCTGTGACATGTCCTTGAGCTCTGTGAAGACAACAGTCCTCCCACAGAAGATCAAATCCCACAGGACAAGCTCCTCTTTGAAAACCCGCATTTGAGTGACACAGAGACAACATGGACAATTCTAGGCTTTAATACCTGCAGGTTTAATTTCTCGGATCAAGGTCTCCAGCTTTTTATCATTCAGATATGAAGAAGCCATTAGAATTCTCCCACTGACTGTGGTTTCCTTGTCTTATTTAGTTTGGTAAATGCTCTGATAAGGTTAGATTATTACAGTCACACCATACCCCACCCTTATTTTAGATATATATTTTTTCTTATGAAAAGAGGAAGACACAGGTCCTCAGGGGACATAACTCCCCAGTTCTCTCTTCATCTGCTCCTGCAGCAGCATCCCTGAGATCATGGGCCCTACATGCCACCTGCTGCCCAAACCCTGCCCTGCAAGGGAGGGTGTTGTCTGGTCTGACAGAGCATGGACTTCTCAGTGTCTCTTGTCCAGAAGCCAACACTGAGCCCTGACTTCAGGATTCTCTCTCAGGGAAACCATGTGTTGAGGCAAGTCAAGATAAATAGAATTTTCTTTAGTAATCCCCAGTGACTCAGCAGGGAGCCCCAACTCATGGCACTGTGCTGCCACCAGGGAGCCCCTTTGCTGGAGCTGCCAGAAGCACTGACTCACTCAGAGCCCTGAGTCCAGAAGCTCTTGGTGGCTTTCAGAATACTCATGACCTCAGGGCATCTGCTTGCAGGATCCACATAAGTATCCCCTGAACATAGCCCCAGGGTCAATGTACTTCTGTTGTTCAATAAATCACAAATAAACAAACACTGTGATAAGTTTCATGGTAATGACCCCAGGTTCCACTTCTCCCTAGTTCCTAGCACATGGGCAAGATCCCAAATCTCATCCATGCAAATGAGGGACCTTTTGTGAAGACAGAAAGAAAGCAAATAATATTGACATGAAGACTGGAGCATGCCCACCCTTGCGGTTTCCTGTTCCACCAGTACCTGGAACCTGCAGAGTCCATGACGAGAAGGTCCATGCATGTCCTGGGGAGGTTCAGGCACAGGGTGAATTAGTCCACTTATTGTAGGCAATACTTGCCTGGAGGGTAGTGGCAGAGTGGACACTGGACTAGAGTCTCCCCAGGAGCAGAAGCAGATGCTGATACAAGAATAGTTATTCACAAGGTTGATCTTGCTTGGCATGTCAGAGACTGTGGACCTGTGTCAGTGTATGTTTCCACTGTATCCTCTGGTGTCCTGAGGGACCCCTGCAGACCAGCCTCCCGGTTTCCTGCAGGGAGGTTTGTGTCTGGGCTCTTGCTGACTTCCCCTCATTGTGTCTCTTGCACAGTAATACACAGCTGTGTCCTCGGTGCTCATGGAGCTCAGCTGCAGGGAGATCTGGTTCTTGGAGGTGTCTCTGGAGATGGAGGCTCGGCTCTTGAAGGACGGGCTGTAGTAAGAGCTTCCACTACTAGTTATATACCCGATATGCTCCAGTCCCTTCCCTGGGGCCTGGCGGATCCAGCTCCAGTAGTAACTGGTGATGGAGGATCCAGAGATTGTGCAGGTGAGGGAGAGGGTCTGTGAGGGCTTCACCAGTCCTGGGCCTGACTCCTTCAGCTGCACTTGGGACCAGACACCTGGAGACAAAGATCATCAGTCCCGGTCAGTCACGTGCAGTCACCACCATCCCATAGACTTTTGTCCAGCTCTGACATACTCACCCTGGGGGGTTGTCAGCAGGCACAGGAGGAGACCCAGCAGCCTCATCTTCTACACACAGGTCTGCCTTCCCTAGAGACTGAGCCCTGTGTGAGGAGAGAACTTTGAGCCTTCATAGCCCAGGGGAGGATTTAACCTGGAACTGAGACAGAAATTTGCATGTGGTGGACTCTAGTCTTATAGGTGGAGATATACTAAGGCCACTGTCCTTCTGTGCCCTGAGCATATTTCTTCTCTTGGACCTGATGACATAAGTTATGTGTTGGTGACTAATTGGGTTATGAGTCAACTTTGAATCATGCCAATGGATAGCAATTCTTTCTTTGTTTAACAGTTAAATGTGGAGAGAGTGAGGGATCAAATTATTTCTTTTTCATAGACTATTCAAGTGGATATTAAAAACAGATTAATATTATGGCCAAACATCTTCCCAAGTCCAAAGGAATACATGAAGTAGAGACACACCCTTTCCAGATGGGATAATCATAATATCATATGAAAAATAACATAATGTAAATTTTCATGTAAAAATGTTGTAAAGTAAAGAACCATCTTTCCCTTGCCCTGGCTGAGGCCCCTGTGCCTGCAGGTGGCAGAGCAGGTGCAGCCTCTGTCTCAGTCTAGCTCCAGGGAATGGGCCACGCAGGTTAGGACCTGCTGCCCAAATCCAGCTCAGACTCAGCAGCTGAAACAAGTGTTACACATGCTGTGTCCTTCCTTTCATGTCAGTTTCCCCAGGGTAGTGCAGACCTTTCCCAAAGGGGAGCCTCTCAGAAGGCCTCCCAGGTTCCTAGACAACACGGAGCCCCGAGCCCTGGATTCACATTCTCCCAGAGACACACAGGAACTGACTCTGGACCAGCAGGTGTCCTGAGACATGTGAGGAGGACAAGACCTGCTTCCTGGTCACAGAGGATCAGGTTGGAACTTTCCATCCCCGTGTTCACCTGAAACCCTGAGGAGTGATCTGGAGGCTGATGTCCTAGGAACGGGACTGGGAGCTGATGAATGTCCAGGTGACAGGTGGAGGGAAGCCAAGGTGTCGAGTAGATGTATCTTTCATTCTATCACTAATGTGAGCTGGAATACATTATGGGATTTGACAGCCTGGCTAATTCTTAAAATCAGGTATTGCACAATCTTCATCCACAGAAACTTCCCACTGGAGTGCCCACTATTTAATAGTGCATGGAGAGGCCTAGGGCACATCTGATGGACTCAGAACTCACTTGGGCCAGACGTGACTTTTTCTCAGGTGACAAATTACTCAGGAGATTCCCCATTTGTCAACAAGAGAGCTGAGAGTGACCAGCATGAAGGAAAATGAGGTGGGTTCTGAAGGAGAGAATCACTGAGAGCAGCTCCAATGAGCAGCACACCATTGCTCCCGGTGACACCTGTGCTCTGCAACCCACTCCATCTTCCATGAATGTGGAGGAGGGGAACTCAGTCCCAACCATGCCCCTGGCCATCCCAGTGATGTGTGTCGTCACCTGCCCCAGAGGGACCTCAGCCTGGGCATGGCATCCCCTCCCTCACATGTCCCTGTGAAGCTGCCAAGAAACACATTTCAGGTGAGCACCTGGGTGTCTCCATGTCCCAGTCTCCAAGGGGCTTTAGAGACCATGATCCCAGATAAGTGGAACCTGTTGAATGTCTTGTTTTTCTCGCTTCCATGTCAGGTGAGAGCAGAGGGAAGTGTTAGGTACCTGACTGGGGGACACTGAAAAGCAAAAATTCATGAGGACAAAGTGTTTCCAGAGAAGGGAGGGTCCATTATGTGCAGCATAATCCTGTGTGTGCTGAGCATCATGGTCAGTCATGTGTCCCCACTGCCATCTTACTGACACCATGGCACAGAGTGTGCTGGGCCCTAATGAAATGCCACCCACATGACATCACCTTCTAAAAGACACCTGGGCACATGTAATGCCTAGTACCACATCAAGACTTGACTTACCCACTGTCCTTGTCCCCACACCTCCGACTCACACACTGCTCTCACACCACGGACCCCCATGGACCAGAATTCTGGATGAGCCTCCCTCTCTTCCCAGATTCTATTTCTCTGGAAAGACCCATAGGAAAGCCTCACCCCTTCTGAGATTCTTGCCCCAAAGTGAGCTCCTCTGAAAGCCTTTTATGTCATCCCTGGTGTCACTAATGCATCTCATTCTCTCAAGGCCCTCTGGTGACAGTGATATTCCTGGTGCTCTTAGTGTATCATGGTGACACCAATATCCCCTTGTGCCCTGAGTGGCCCCTACATTCCAGCTGTCCTGTCTCCCTCAGGGAGGTTTGTGTCTGGAGGGCAAGAGAGCCGGTCTCCCTCAGTATCTATAGAGTTACCCACAGAAATTTACTTTAGCCCTGGCTGGTGTGTCTCACAAGGGCGCAAAAACTGAAAGGTCACCAGTCAGGGCACATGGCTGGGGTTACATCCAGGCTCCAGTTAGGGGTGTGTGAGCCCCAACATCTTGCACATGTATATTTCCATCCCTCTCTTTCTCCTTCTCTCCCATTCTCCCTAAAAAACACAATCTAAAAATATTATTTTACAATGTAATATAAAATTAATGAAAGTAAAGTTTTTATTTCATATTGTTTAGAATTCCATATTTCTTCCACTCAAGATAGGCAACTCCTATAGATTTTACAACCAAAATTTCCCACAAATGCAATATCCAGAGGAAACCTTGATGGATCAACACAGTGAGGGGACATGAGGAGATAAAGTTGGGGCAGGTGACTGTGCACAATCTTACTCAACCTCCCTGCTAGGACTGGTCATGAAAGTTGAGTGGGGAAGAGTGAGCAGGGCCCAGGCCCATGGAGCTCAGGGTCTAGGTCAGATTTAGAAAGAATTGGGCCTGGACCTGGCAGTGGGTCATGTTAAGGGTCATTTCCACAACCATCCAGTGAATGAGGGGCAGGATGATAACATGGGCAGGAAAGGCAGAGGCTGAGGGGGAAAGGTCCTGGGGGATGATCACAGCCCTGTAGTTGAGGCGTGCCTATAGAAAGAAGAAGATGGATGAATGCATTGTGTGCATGTTGGCGGCAGGAGCCTGAGCTCATCACACAGGGGCCTGGATGGGGATGGACCCCACTCTGTGGGAAACATTTCCAACCATGGGGAAGACAAGAGCATTCAGGTGGTTCTTTGTCATTAAAGGAAAAAGGTACAAGGGATCTCGGTGAAGGAAAGGTCCCAGGCCCAGGATGGACTCTCATCTGCAAACAGACAGCATCATATCTTCCTTTGGTATATGAGTGAGAATGTGGAAAATGAGAGTCACAAAGGCAGAAAAAGTGTCCCTGATGCAGCTGAGAATTTTGACAGGAAATCCCGCTCCCAAGGGGAAGCCCCTCCCTTCCCCACCAGGCCCAAACCTGTTCCTTGGGGATGGCTTTTGTGTTGCAGGTAGTGCCAAGAGATACTCTGTGCCCTGAGCACCCCCCAGTGTCCTGAGCACTCCCTGCAGCCCAGCCCTCCTGTCTCCCACAGGGAAGTCTCTCTGGGCTCACATTGATCTCCCTCAGTTTCTCTCACACAGTCATACACGGCTGTGTCCTTGGGTCCCAGGTTGTTCATTTGCAGGGACAGCACATTTTTTTAATTGTCCCTGGAGAAAGTGAATTTTCCCCTCACAGAGTTGGCATATGATGTGGTACTTCCATCCCCATTAATGTCTGAGACCCACTCCGGCCCCTTCCCTGGATCCTGACAGACCCTGTGCAAGCGGGAGCTACTGAGGATGCATCAAGAGGCTGCGCAAGAGAGTCTCAGAGATGCTCCAGTCTGATGCCTCCCCAACTCCACCAGCTGCACCTCACACTGGACCCAGAAAAACACAAAGACGTCCTGGTCAGTAATCTATCATCTACCCACTGTGTCTCTAAGTCATATCCACTCACATACTCAGTATTTCTAATTCTCCATAATTACTTCTTAAAATAGAAACAAGGAAAACCCAGCTCAGCCCAAACTCCATGGTGAGCTGTCTGTGCCTTGTCCTGAACAGAGACCGAGGACACCTGGGAATCCCAGGCTGAACTCCTGTTGCAGAGCTGCAGAGCTGGGGCTGGGGTGCTTCCCATCGTAGAGAGACTCTATTTCCATGTCCTTCTACTATATAGGGAACTGTGTGTCTGGCCAGTGACATGAAGGACATAGCCCCAGTGTGTGACTTGCCCAAGGGCACATGCCTGTTAAGAATTACTCCCCAGCCTGGACAGTTTGGCTCAGAATGTTAGACTCTAATCCTGTTACTGAAAGTTGAAGGTTCAATCCCAGATCTGGACACATATGGCCCTCTGTTTAGGCCTGTGTGGGAGACAACCAACCTCTCTCTCTCTCTCTCTCTCTCTCTCTCTCTCTCGCTCTCTCTCTCTCTGATTCTGTCCCTTCCTTTCTCTGTGATAGTAGTGAAATAAGCCCTCTTTTGAAGAGAAAAAAATAATAAAATAAAAATAAAACATTGCTCCTACATATATGTTTCTGTTCTCCACAGCTGCCCAACTGTTCCAGGAGATGGGTGCACGACCTAAGGGAGTAAACTGTCATGAATGGAGAGAGAATTAAGATGAGAGGTGTTTTTGAGTGTCCCCAGTAGTGAATATACCATAGAAATCAACCCTCATGACTAGAGGAGGCAGGAATTTCCATCTGACCCTATTTCCCCTACAAAGCTATCAGACTATGAACTAAGAACAGAGTGTGGCCCTAGAGCACAGGAACCAGTGTTGGAGGAGGTGAAGCAGCTGTGTGGATCACTGGGGACAGAAGTATGAATGCCACAGGGAAGCAGGCAGTGCTCCTGTATCATTCCTTCAGTGGAGTTTTGTTCTGAATGTGCAGTAGTCTCACTGTCTCACTTTTGTTTTTATTTTCTACACTCTGTGGAAGAATCAGTTTCAAACCTCCTTCATTCATTTTCATGTGTGCACATGCCACTGGGAAAGGCTGTCATCTGGTTCACTCGAGACGGGTGTCACCTAGGCATGAAACCCATGTTGCATGGATCAGTGTGCAGAACTGGGAAGAGATCCTCCAGGTACATGGATGGTGGGATAAAGCAA